TGGATGCGGGTCTGGCAGCGTTGAGCGTGAGTTAGGGAGGAGGTGGGGCGCGCAGCGTGTGTGGAGCCGTGAACAGGGCCAACTGATCAGAAGCCGATTAATCGATTATTGAAAAAGTTGACAACTTTTTCAATAATCGATTATAATCGATTATGTCGATTAGTTGTTGCAGCCCTAATAAACATCCACTGGAACTGTACCCTGCACCCCCCACACACACGTTTTTATTTTAATTTTTTCAAATTTGTTACATATTTTATTTTGATTTATTTTTTTGATCGCTATCTGCAAGGAATTTGCATGTTCTCCCTGTGCTTGCGTGGGTTTCCCCCCACACTGCAAAGACATGCTGGTAGGTTATTTTCCTCCTGTCTTAATTGGTACGTGCATGTGAGATAGGGACCTTAGATTGTAAGCTCTTTGAGGGCAGGGACTGATATGAATGTGCATTTTGTAAATAGTCGGTGCAATATAAATACTAATAATTAATATAGGGAGCGTTCCCTTGCTGTTACGCAGTCAGTCCCTTGCTGCCTGAAATGTAGCAGAATGACAAGGTTATGTTGACTCACCTAGGGCAGGGACTTAACATAACCTGGTTGGTATGGCCAGCGAGCAATCAACACTGTCAGACTAGTTGAGTGTTCTTGCTGCTTTCTTAGCAATCCTGTCATCGGCAAGTTGCCACCAGCAAGTGGTTGGCTAGTGTGACATTGGCCTAACTCGTACCCCAGCTTCTGAACCATAGCCTAACCCATAAAAATATTCCTTAACACGTAACCTGCCCCTGATTGTTATCCTAAACCTACAACTTGACCCTTAGCACTTGACGTGAATATAACATCCTAACCTTAAAGTGGAAATCCAGCCCAAACTTTTTTTCAGTTTTGGATAGAGTGGAGTAGAGTTAGAACCTTTGTCATACCCGGCGGGAAGATTCACCTTAGGCTGGTCATGTACTAAAAGCTTGATTCCCTCATCCATGCTATCAGCCGCTGTCACAATACCGGAATTGGCTGCAGTCACTGTTCGGCTGAGAATTTTTGGCTTCTTTCATAAAAGTATGGATCCCCAAAGGGGCCATACACTACAGGACACTGACAAAATTCAAGTAGTGTATGGCCAATTATGTCCTGGGGGATCATTGTCCATGGGACAGAAAGTTGGTGGAAATCCAAAATTTTACCATGGTCACCTGAGGTGACAGCAAAGTGTCAGAATTAGGAATCTGGAGCTGCTATAATACGCTATCTGATCTGAAGTCGCAGGCGGAACTATAGCCATAGCGATCCAGGTGGCCGCTATGGGCCCCGGGGCACAGGGGGGCCCTGCCAGGATGAGGAACAAAGGGGTCCATGCAGGTCGTCTGGGTCGCTATAGCGTCGCAGGCTGCTGGCTGTCAGAAGGAACGCGCCACTGTCCAAATCACTGACAACCTTTCAGTAATCTGTGTAGCGGCGCTCCTCCTCACAGCTGCTTCTGAGTCAGTGACAGCCAGCAGTTGCAGTGGAGAAGGACGGGGCCTGGCAGCGGAGGAGGAGGTGGGGCCCGGCAACGGTGGAGGAAGAGGAAGGGACCAGGCCCAGCGGTGCGGGAGGAGGTGGGGCTCATCAGCAACTAGGAGGAGGCGGGGCCTGGCGATGGAGAAGGCTGACAGTGACTCGGGGCTAACAAGTAAGAGGTGTGCAGGGGTGTGACCAGCCCACCTGAGACCCTGCAGAGCCCACCATAGAGAGTCTATGGTGGACTCTGCAGGGTCACTCTCAGGTGGGGTGTGTGGGATCTCAGGTGGGCTCTGCAAGGGGCGTAACTAGAAATCACAGGGCCCCATATGAAAACTTGCTATGGGGCCCTGTGATTTCTAGTTGAGCCCCTGTCTGAAGTCTGCTTTTTTATTAGCCTTAGATGTTGGGTATGACCTTAAAGTGACATTAAACCCTCAGATTTTTTTACATAAAACAATACTGTAATGTGCGCCTTACTGTAATCCATGGTTGTTTCCCTTCTCTTTGCTGCTCTTCCTTTTAAATCTGTATCTGTTCTCATGCTGGGCAGAACTTCTGTTTTGCAGCAGACTGCCTTGTCTCTGGAATGGATACATGGTATCTGTGTGCAGGTTCACAACCTGAGCCAGCACTACAGGAAGAGGCACTCAGCTGCAAAGGGAAGTTCTCCCCCAGCATGAGAAGAGAGACGGATTTAAAAGGAAGAGCAGCAAAGAGAAGGGAAACAACCATGGATTACACTAAGGCGCACATTACAGTATTGGTTTATGTTAAAAAATCTGAGGGTTCAATGTCACTTTAATGGAATTTGATATACAACTTCAGTTCCTCTTTATGTGTTTTTACCTGGATGCAGTCTCTCATTAACATTAAAAGAGACGTTTTTGGGAGTCACTCTTGTGAAAAAATAAGGGATCTACTGGCAGGATGAACAGGTAATAAAACTGGTAAACTCTTATGGGAGGACTCAGAAAAGAAAAAAACCTGCTGTGTTGATGTTAGTGACAGACGGCACCAGAAATGTCATTTTTTTTATTTTGCCTGAAGTTCCACATTAATCACAAGAGTGAGATATAAAAATGACAGCAGATGGAAAGCCTAGTGCACGTTCCACCTGGAGAGGAAAACATCATCTACATTCCCTGGCAATTAGTAATACAGAGAAAATGAGCAATCCCTCCCATTTCAAAGCATATGATGAGCTTGTCATCGTTTTTGGCAAACCCTTACATTATTATTAGACATCAGATGATGCTCATTGTGTCTGACGCATTTACCAGGTCAATGGGTTACTAAAACCTAAAGTAGAACTACAGGAAAATTCTAAGTGCACATTAAGGCCGCTGTCACAGTTTTGCAATGCACAATGCACATTACGTTGCGCATTAACATGCATTGCTTAAAGGCCGTCCCATGCAGCACAAACTGCACATGACCCTTTTTCAGGAACAC